GATGAACACTTGCTCCGGCACTGTTTATTTCCACTAGACTCAAAACAACGAGTGATGCCTAACAGTTTGCCTTGGAGCCCATAATATCATGATACTACAGTTGCATTTGTTGGGTCCCACGCGATTTTGAGAAGTGGTCATTCGTTCCAAAAGCGTAATGGCAAAACACACAATAAATGTGTAAAACTTGGGCACTACGGTAGTAAGTAATTCCATATTAGCTTGTTTATTAGATATATCACACAGTGAAGTATTATTATTTACTGGATGACACAGTTTCGAACAAAATTTATTATTGTTCATAATCATATCGTCAATTATGATCACACGACTTTGAAACTTAAGTTTTTTAGTTTTCTTTGTCTTCTCCTATTTGTCGTAGGGGTAGTAGAATTTTTCAGATATCTGGGACAGATGATGAATCATTCCCATTACATGTATTTGCAGTTGATTCAATAAACAAAGTTTCTGTAATCAGTCTCTCCCTATATACTGTGGCAATAGATTTTAAAACTGCCATCGTATCCCATGCTATTGTATGGTTGTGTGTAATTGCATGTAGTAAGTGATATGGCTGTACTATTCTCCAGGTTTCTTAGCTCATTTGGTTCAACTAATCTAGATTTTGCTGCTAGGTTTTTATGCTCGGCTAGTCTGACTGCCCCTGTTCTACTACTTTGACCTATGTATTTGACCTGACAATGATTGCAGGCAGGGTATTAGATTGTTGCTGCTATATTTTGACTAAACTAGCGTACACGTATATCTTAGTACTTCTTCGCGTTTATAATTGTGACCTAACGTTGCGATTACTCGACATCCACAACGTAATTCAAAAGGCACTTGCGAAGGAATACGATAGTGTATTATTGCAGCAATCAAAATTTCAAAAATCGAGCGAGCACAAAAGTATCAATTGTTACATGCAAGATTTAGAGTAATAAACAAATCAAAGTCCAATTACATAGTGGAAGTATACTGCGATGATGAGTAATAAAACGGGTCACTACAAGATAAACTAAATTTTTTTGTCTAAAAGGCTCCACAGGATTGATCCTTTGACCGACAAAGCTAGTTTCTAATTGGGTTTGTGGGTGGTTTGAATGCCAGCCACTCTTATTCCTGCCTTGTTAGGAATTCTGCTTAAGGCTTCCAAGGTTCCCTCTTTATATGGAATTACTACTGATGATTTAGATTCCTTATTGTTGATGTCATCATTAATATTATTATTATTATCACTTTATTATTATTATTCTTGTTATCATTATTATTGTTATTATCACTATCGCTACTATCATTATTTATTTTATTTTTACATTTCCTTACATATTTCCTGACTAATTTATCCGGGTAATCATTAAGTTTCAAGGCTTCTTTTATGTGCATCAGTTCCTGTTTTAGATTTTCCTTGGTACTACTTAGTTTTGTGCTCTGTCATTTAAACATTTCACTAATCCTATTTTTACTGACATAGGATGGGATGATCGGAAGTCCAAATATCTGTTTGCATATGTGGGTTTCCTGTAAACACTAGTATTTAACTTCCCATCTTCTTTCCTTTTTACGTTGCAATCTAACATTGGGAGCTCCCCTTCCTGGTTGTCCAATTCTACTACCACTACGACAAATAGGAGAAAACAAATAAAACTATAAAACTCGAGTTTCGAAGTCCTGCGATTACAATTGATATGATTATGAACAACAAATTTTATTCGAAACTGTGTCATCCAGTAAATAATACTGTTTCACTGTGTGATACATCTTATAAACCAACTAATATGGAATTGCAAATCCCCGAAACCTGTAAATTCTCTGTAGTTTTCACATATCGTTACTGTCGTATACTCCTACACATATCCTCTCATACTGAATGTGTGACGAATATCATAGTCTGAAGAAATAAGAATGTCTTTTGTTCTCTACAAAAATCAGTTATCGGGAAAATAGTCGTTTAAAATCGAGGCTGGTGACCATAGAATGAATTTCAGCCGCAAGAACAGAAATTAGTCACTGTGGTAGGGTATGACTGCATTGCACAGTTTATTTTCACTTGATAAAATCATACAGTCAGGCAAGAATTAACTAACCTTTTTTCATCTAGTAAATAAACCATTTCCTCCATCCATCTTTATTTACCTTAAAGTTTTACTTTTATTATTTCTATTACATTTACGGTCTTGTTGCTTCTTTGTTTTAATTTCGTGATTACAAACATCAACTTATCTCTATGACTGCTGTAATCTATGTTTTTTCTCTCACCATTTCATGTAAAGAGAACATTATATTCAATATTTTAAACATGCCAGGATTTCTGTACTGCATCGACAATACTGTGTGAAACAGGCCCACGGCAATTTTCACTTGTATTATTATGATTATTATTTCCATTTTATATGCTGCATGTTTTTTACATTACCCTTATTGTAAATGTGGAAAATTTTCTGTGTGATTAATTTCATTTATAATTTGAGGAAATTTGATGGAATGTTGTGATTAATGCTGAAAATTCCATTCTGTATGACAAGTACTGTTTTTGGAATAAAGTAAATTATTATTATTATGGTTATCATTATCATTGAAAATAGTACTGCCAGTACAATCAAAGGATAAGAAACAATGGAATTATATAGACGAATTTAAAAAGTTATGTGAGCACCCTGATATGATTATGAGCAATATATTTTTATCGAGACATCAATAATAAGTAATGCTCTACTAATATATGAATTTATCAGACAAAACAACTTTATGGTGAAATTTAAGTTTCAAGACATGCATTTCTCGTAAACACCAGTTTAAACGAAATATAAGTGTTCTAAGCGACAGAGACAATGTTAAGCGCGAAACCTATGACTTGCTTTGTTATTAATAACATAATTTTAGGCTCTTTTATTTCTCTATTATTCTGTATTCTATAGTGAACTTCTTAAACATACTTAGCTACCTAAATTATTAACATTGGCTTACTTTTGTACTTTACTATATTCCTTCTATTGTGTATCCACTGGTTCCGACTCTATTAGCACTATGAGTATTAAAAAATTGTCCTGTCATTAACCATCATGGAATTTTTAGTTTTGTGGTTGTTTTTTCTTATTTTTAATTTTTTTCGGCAATATTAATCTGACAATCATTGGTTGTGAACGCCATTATCACCACCTTAAAAATTTTGTATTATGCAGGATTACTCACACTACTATTACAAACACTGCATTAGATCTGACAATAAAAAACAAAACAACAACCGTGAAATGTTATTTTATGATCGTTTAGTGTTGTTGTTCAATCGCGTCGGTGGCACAGTGGTTAGGACTCTCGCCGACCATGCACATGGTCCGGGGTTCGATACCCTGCCGGCGCACACCCGATATCTATGGTCGGCCTGAATTTGGGCTACCGATATCCATGCTGAAAATTCCATACTTGTACTGAAAATACGGTGTGGAATCAAGCTGTAAATCAAAATAAAATCAAAAATAAAATAAATCTTGGCGATAAACATTCTTAAATATCATTTCATAACTTCTTGTATGACTATAGCTTTACTGTCACCATGCATATTCATGTCATAGGTTCCACTACCCAATACTGAGTTATTATTATATGATGTTTATTTTCCTTTCTACTTCTTGGTATTTTTTTCGCATTTTTTAAAATTATTTTTGTGTTTTGTTTTCTTGTTGTTGTTGTCTTTATACTTATTTTTTGAAATACTCCTTTTAAATGTTTGATAAAATTAGATGCAAATATTGTAGACATGTGCTGAAAATTCCACACTGTACCACTAGTACTGTTTCTGGAATAAAGCAAATTATTATTATTATTATTATTATTATTATTATTATTATAAGGGTTCAAATGGGTTAGTAACAATTTGACTTGCAATATTCAATCATCAGCCTTCACACATAACAGTCTTAGTGCATGATTAGTTGACACAGAAAGAATCCTCAAAAATTTAATACTCATGAGACTGTGTGCAATGTGCTTATTTCTACAATTTGTGCATCAGATGACAGTACCGCCTAGGTTGCCGATTTGATGATAATACTGGCAGTTTTTGGATGCTGTTAGTTCCGCGAATTTTATCTTTGACTTTTGACCTGAGTATCATCATTCTGACGCTTGCCCGTTCTCTTATGACGTAGTCTTCACTAACTGTCTTCATTCCTGCCTCACCTTGTTGTTTCGGAGTGGTGGACTAGTAATCATCAGACACTGTTTACTGTTCTGAACACTTTGTTTCAATGAAGTGACAATCGTACAGTGAAATGACTCTTGCTCATTGAATATCCTCTCGAAACGTTTATTGCTTGATTTAAATACTACAGACAATATTCATATCCCATATTGTAGAGCTATTCTTGTTGTTTATGAGGAATTCTCCAGATTAGTTAAACATTAACCTGTAACTGAAAGTTTCCAATATTATCGAAAGGTTTTGATACAACAGTGGTTGACTTTTAGTTATATAACCGTTAGTCATTCATTTCAGATTGTCTTACAGACACCAGTGAAAACGTTTGAATTCCTCAGATTTATACAAGTTGACAGAAAGATCCTTCTTGAGGGAAATATGAAATCAGTTTTGTGAAAATTTCCAGAGCTTTCAACAGGTTTTATTCGCCTTCTTTCAACTGAACAATTTGATTTGCTTTAAAGGCTCATTCACAAGTAATGTGTGTATATATAAGTCGGTGAACCGTTACAAGAGCCTATAGATATGACTACTATCGCTTGGAGACTGGCTAACAGTCTTATGCTGTCAAGCGGTAAATTTTAAGTCTGTTTCCGTTGTTCTTCGAAGGCACACATCCAACGATCTAATTTTATTCTAGAGGAAATATCTTAGCATAATTTTACAGATCTCATTTCAAGTCAACATAGTTGAACAGTTAAGGGAAAATACAACATGAAACATTGAACATGCTTGCTATTATCACTATTCATTTATAGATTTACTCAATTAGTTTTTTTTTGTCATTTGAATTTGAATGTAGCTCCAAATGCGTATTCTTTGCCTCCACCTTCAACGCAAAGTGATATTGCCACACCTCCAAAGTATACAATGGCCGGTCGTCATGATGGATTCATTATTACTAAAGTAAGCTATGAAAAGTAGATGGGTTAAATTTAACATTGATTTCTGATGCAAATTCTGCAGGTTTTCTTTCTTCACTGTGAATGGGATTGAAATGGCTACAGTCTATCTGTAACTGTTCTTGTATGCCCTTTCTTAAGATTTCGTTATTTGTATGAACTCATGTGTTTATTGAAATAATGTAGGAAAGTGATGGTCACTATTATTCTTCAGGGTATGGTGAGTAATAGACGTTGAAAACTCAGAAATGTTTCCTAAAACTGGTTGGAGGATTTCATCATGGGCTGACATCAGTTGGAAATAATGAGCCATTGGATCGGATTCAAGTGGCTGAATGGTCTACGAGCTCGCCTCGTAACCAGAAGGTCCTGGGTTCGAACCTCAGTTGGCGAGTACTGATGAAGATTCCTTAATCAGGACGAAACAGCTGTACAGTACTCCTAGCTGGTTTCCCAATGGTTCTCTTACTGATATTAGCTCACGATGAAATCCTTCAACCAATCAAACAAATTCCCTAAAAAACCAGTACTTGAAAAAAAGTTTCCCAAAACTCCTGACAGATGTGCCACTCCAGTTTAAAGATCCACAATGAGGCACATAGAAGAAAAGGCTCTCAGTGAAGTGTCATTCTTTGCAGCGATATCATTCCCAAGCTGTACAATCACATATATGCAAAATAAATTCTTCTAACAAAATAAAGGAATGTTTCCAAAGGTGTGTGATTAGAGAAATTTTAAGTTCTAGATAATAGTTGCATAATACAGAAGGCGTTAATCGGGTGCAACTAACATATAACTGAAAGATTCATGTAAATGCTGGGACTAAGTAAAACTCAGCTATATTCAAAGAATATCAAAGTAGATACAGAGCCCCGAGAAGTAGAAATATAACAGTGGAGGGAGAGGAGGGGAAACAGTAATATAATTTGGAAAAGACTAAAGGATTAAAACAAATAAGGTCATTCGCATCGTCTCTGACTGAACAAACCTCTCGTCTACACAGCGTTCACGACTTAACAGGTGGATTGCCATCACCTTGGTGATTTGAAGAGGTTTGATTCGTATTCCTTTTGGAAGATTTCAGCGTATTCTGCAGATGACGCAAAAGTTGATTTGTGCGTTCAGAATCGACCAGGTGTTCCACGACAAAGGTGAGGGGGGATGATCTCTTCTCTCATTTATAAAATCATGAGGGTTATTATTGACCTAATTAAGTGTTCGATGACGCATTTGGATAATAAAAGTCGAATTTAGCCGACATGCCTAGCTCGACAGGAGCAGGTGATAAGCTTGATAGATAAATACTGATGAGGCCAGCAATGAAAGCTTACTCTCTGCGTTCATATGAATCCCCAGTTTTACAGAGAAAGTAAGTCGCCGCTCATATGCGACGGTTTGTATTCAATGATCTGTACAAGCGAATTCTCAGCGGAGTATTAATTGTTCAGGTGTCATGGAGATTGTGATGAAGCACTCAGAGGAACCATTTTCAGTGAGAATCCCTTTTGTAGTGTTCAACTTGTTTTCTGTGATGTTAGGACTGAAAGTGTTGTGGCTTCTGTGTCCCGAAAGGCGGTTCAGGTTTCGTTTTGTATGTAAAGGTTATTCTGTAGGTGTTTACCCTCCTCATTCTGACAACATCCTTCTTATTTATCTCCATACGTGATTTATTCGATTTCATCGTTTCTGATTCTCAAGCGTTTGTTTGCTGGGTTTTGATTAATTTTAGGAGTCTTTCGCGAGCTGGCGTCTGCAAGGGAAGCGTAGGAAAACCTGGGATTACCGGACGGCTGTTTTGCCTTAGTTTGCGAATGTTCAGCAGTACGCACCCACCAACGTGCCAGGGTTCGAACCTGGGACATTCCGGCTACAAGTCGAGCTAGCTGGTATAGCATTAGGCTAGGATGGTTGAATATTTCCCAAGAGTACCAAACTAGGAAGAAACAGCTATCTATTACTCCTAGGTTGTCTCACGGTTTCTGATTCTATTTTAGCTAGATGCAACAGGTTGACTGGATGTGCTTCAATATTCCACTGTATTTTTTGACGCCAAAATCCCAAGAAGGCTTATTGAAAGCTTGTTTAACAAATAATCGGAGAATCAGAAGAAATTAGTGAGTTTTAAATCCTCAGATAGTGAGGATACTCAGCCTGGAATCAACCCAGTGGGTAATTAATTATGAGCGAGTTAAAACAAGTCCACCATCTCATGTGAATTACTTGAGTTACGCATATCATATTGCTACTTTATCATAGCAGTCAGAATATCATCAAGATGGTGTGAAGAAACCTCAGTGACTATTGCAGTAGGAATGATTTAGCCGTGAGAATATCCAACTTTTGTTATTCCCTTGGGTTCCAAGCGGAGCATAGGAATCCAGCAACAAACCCACACTTCGTTCTGTTTTCTGGAGTCCTTTTTAGTTGGCTACATAACTGCCCACAATCTCTCATTCCCCTCTCAAATTATTTCCTTGGATGCTTAAACCTATTCGGATTCTACTGGTGGGTGTACGAATCTCTTGATGCCACTCAACAGGCTTATGGACGTATATTCATATCATCTTCATTTCCTCTTACATAATTGTTGGGCGACAGGTTATAAGTTGGTATATTTCCTGCCAAAGTCCATTGTTGGTCAATCCGCCCCACTGGCTATTTGATCTTAACTATCGAGTGGAGATGTCTGTTGGTAATATCTCAACCAGCAGTGCTTACTAGCCAGCCAGATGGAGGTGGTCTAAACAGCAGATGGCAGTTTTCCTCTCTTGTTGGGCTCAATTTATCATCTGTGTACTCACTTTTACCCAGCTCAGAGAGTCGAGTAGTATATCATTCTCGTAGAAGCTTTGATTCCTACAGCTTTGGATTTTGGCGAATGTTGTCAGTCTGGGAGAAGTCATCATCTAGGCGTTCCTCATTCCTTAGTCAAAACCTTCAGAAGACATTTTGAGACTTTTTATTTGGTAGCCAGTTCAGATTCATATAAACATATAATACTTACAATTCAAAATGAATTACTCTTAAATTAACGCACTTTTTTATGCTCAATGATTTAGAACCCTGGACCAGCAGATTATACTGTCGGTTCCCCTGATGTCTATATGACAGCTGCACCAAAATATACAATGGGAGTTACATTACCAGATAGGAAATTTGCCGACTATCCTGGACCACTGACTTATCGTCCTGAAAATGTAAGTGAAGTTTATAACTGTATTGATAATAAACTTGAATAATATTATTGACACTGGTTATATGGGAAAGTATTTTCAGCCGTGAATGATTCCACTACATACCAACTTTTTTCTAGCCTTTTAGTTTTTTTATTTAACAATTATGGTAATATCTACTATATTTGATTTTGTAGATACACAGCGAAAACTTTGCAAATACACCAGGTTTGTAGCACTCATTGTGGTGAACCACATTCTAGGAGAGCTGTAAGCTACGGTACTTAAACGACTTCGAACACGTTTCTAGTTGCTTTCAACGAGAAACAACTTTCACAATTGTTGTTTGGTCATCTATCCTGTTAGGTCTGAGATTTAGCTACACTACCTGCTGACTTTTTGGTTTGGTAAGGCTAAGATGGTGGTTAAGCTACCCTTAAAATCATCCCAATTTGAAAAGGGAGAATATATAACTCTCTTGGCTACTCAAAGGTATATTTATTAGCGATGCAATGAATAAGTTATGGAGATGCACAATCACAGACCACAGTGCCGACGCGAAGGTTTTGTTCATTGAAAATTATATTGACCACCACTTGTTTCAGCCCACATTGATAAACAAACTGATCGTTGACAGTGAGACATCCGAGGTCCAACCAACCAACTTGGTGAACTCCTGTGATCCCTTACAGTATTATGATTAGTACATACAAGTGTATATTGAGGAAATCTCATCCCCACTGGTATTTAAGATCCCTAATATTTTAGGAATAAGACTGTATGTCTGAAGCATAGTAATGAAAATGATGAGATCACCATAAATGATATGGTATTCAGAGCCTTTGTAGTACTTCCGTATGAAGAAGGACCATCTTAGAACTCATTCATGAGATTGTAGTTAGGATGCAATTCAAACTAAACAACTCTCTCAGAGATAAACTTTCTCGGCTTAAGTACTCTCCCCCAAAAGATCTAAATAAGAAAATTAATATAATTTACCAAGCAACACGTAATGAATGTGAGGTCAAACTAGTAGATAGAGGTAAATTAAACTATCGGGATATAAAAGTTTAGCTGAACCTGAAATGATTTACCCTGCCAAGTTAAATAATCTAGAAAAATGCTCGGTTACTGCAACACATTCGGTTGCATGGAATCTCACACTACTGGCAGCATAGGGCGAAATTATTACGAGGCAATGTAGTTAGGAGGAGGGAGATGTTGAATACCGAATCTCCATCCCTCGAATTAACGCCAAACACGTGAAATTGAAGTGGCACAGCGGGTATACTGAATACACGGGAAATCGTGACAGACAACGAGGGGAAGAAAGAGAGAAATGTTTATTATACGCAAGTTATGAAGTTGGGTAAGTACGCTGATGTGATTATGAGCAATAATTTGTGTTCGAAATGTCATCCAGTAATTATTACTGGATCACCCATTGCATGTTATATCAAATACACTTTCACAATATGGAATTATACTCTGCCGCTGTGCCCAAATTCTACATTTGCATTGATAAAACAGTTTCATATTTGATTCCGAGAATGCCAGGAGTGAATTCTCACTGGACAGATACCCAAAAGATATTAACAAATTTATATGCACTAAAAAGATTGACCGTGTTCGAATTTCTCTTCTCCGTTGTTCATTGTAAGACAGTGCATTGGGGGTGTTGTTCAGTCAACAAAATCATTAGAATAAAAGGTAGGGCAGATGAGAATACTGACCACTTGCTATAAGTCAGAATGTGAACACAGATAGGCAAACAAATACTCAAATGCTAATTCCATATTAGTTTGTTTATTAGATATATCACACAGTGAAACAGTATTATTTACTGGATGACGTTTCGAACAAAATTTATTGTCAATGAAATATCCCCATATTGAAATCAAAACAAGATTTTGAGCGAACAATTGTTTTCGATAACTTCTTTTTCAGGCTCTACAGTTATAAATCCATAAATAATAGAGTACATATAGCCAATAAAGGCAAATGAAAATAATATCAGAAACTGTATTGGGGTGCATGGGTAAGCTGAGATGATAGTCCATTAGTTAACATAATCAATCAAATGTGTATAGGGTGTATAGTCAGAAAAATGTGATGAAGTGTGAATGAACAACTGGGTGATATAGTGCTGTTTTATAGTCAACAGAATACAAGTGTCATTGGGGTCACTGTTACCCTTAATTTTGTCAACCTTTGTGATTTTACACTAAGCCTACCAACTCTGTAACATCTTATTACAATTTACAATTTAGCCTCTTTATTTTATCATTAGACATTATCGGTCAGCCCTCACATTCAGTGTCCCCTTTGTTAATGTGTATTTGTATGTATTTTGTGGCTATCGCATTTCTCTCACCCCAATGACACTTGTATTCTGTTGACTATAAAACAGCACTATATCACCCAGTTGTTCATTCACACTTCATCACATTTTTCTGACTATACACCCTATACACATTTGATTGATTATGTTAACTAATGGACTATCATCTCAGCTTACCCATGCACCCCAATACAGTTTCTGATATTATTTTCATTTGCCTTTATTGGCTATATGTACTCTATTATTTATGGATTTATAACTGTAGAGCCTGAAAAAGAAGTTATCGAAAACAATTATGCTCTCAAAATTTATTGTTCATATCATATCAATATCCAAATGGTATTTGTAAACTTGTGTTATTTTTGACGCAGAAGTGAGAGACACCTATTTCAGACACCTATAATGCGGCTGGGGTTTGGGACATTATTTGTTTCTCCTCACGACTATGATTAATAAGAGTAAACAGCATAAGGAATTTCTTCTGAAATAATGTCTACAATACTAAAAACATTCGGAATAGACAAAGCACCGAAATGAGTAAAACGACCATTCGGCGTTGATATCACTTAGATCTGGTTGTCCAACACTAGCATAGGTTTATACAGGCAGCTTCCGACTACCCGCATCCAACAGTGTTATATACCATCATACGATATTCTTTTGCATTCGAATCCCACCTCGTCTGAAGTGAAAACATCAAAAACGCAAGAAAATTCCTATAAACCTGGTACTCAGATGAACCAGCTACTAACGGATGCATTACTGAAGATCAGATTTATCGTCAGGGTAACAAAAATTCAAATTTTGGGGCAATAAAGACAGTCAATACTAGTGTAAGTTTTTGAGCAGCCGTGACAAAGACTGTCAGGAGATAGAGTTCAACCATCCATGGAGTACTCAGACTACTTTGCTTAGTATTGAAGCTTACACTGGGGATGTCTGGAAGGATAAGGAAGGGATTCGCAGTTAAATCACACAGCTCAGAGGGCTCAACCAAATCAGAAACATAAGGAGATTAGACGATTTTAGTTATAAGTGCCTTAAGAAAATTACTTCTGTGTAACATAATCACAAATAGTGAATAATACTGAATTTAAATGCGTAGTTGTAGGTAAGTTGCGGACATCACTTAATTTGACTATGCGGCAGTTCAAATGTCTGGAATACGTGGTACTCATGGTAAGCTTTCTTCATCAGAAAAGGCGAAGTTTGAGTTAATTTCGAACTGGATGAAATGAAGTAAAAGGTTAGTCAGTTAGTTAGTTAGAAATGCGACACCAAAGAATAGATCCTCTGACTTATGGTTTCAGTAGCCTAGAGAGAGAAAGACAGGGAGGTGTATTTAGCTTCATTCAGTTTCTTCAACTGATAAGAATGATGGAATTAACACGGATGATGAGTGGTTTCACTAATGAATCCTACACATAGGCTCTGATGCATTGAAAAGTCGTTAATCTGAAATAATAGAGAAGATTTGTAGCTCAGGTGGATAATTTGCAATGAATAGTGTTCTTCAAAAGGAATGGTTATCCACAAAATTTCATCAAAAAGTTTTTAAAGTCAAATCAAAACACCAACAAGAAACCATTATCAAAGACCACAAGAAAATTCATTCTACCATACATGAGAAATATCTCTGAAATAACAGCTAGAATACTGAAACCGTTTGATATAGATATAGCGCACAAACCAGTCAAGTCGCTTAATTCGATATTATGCAAACCAAAAGATCTAACAGAAAAAGGGGATAAAATTAATACCATTTACAAAATAAATTGTTTGAACTGCAACAAGCATTACATCGGCCAAAGTGAGCGTCCTCTTCGAATCAGAATCCAAGAACACAAATCAGCCGTGAAAAGACACGATGTGTATTCTTTAGTATCAATGCATGTGGACAATTATGGTCATCAATTTCATTGGGATAATGTCAAAATCTTAGACAGAGGAAACACTAAAAGTGCCAGGGAATTCCTAGAAGCCTGGTACTCAAACGAAAATGCAGTTAACAAGCACGTTAATATAGACGAAATATACCAACTAATAAAAAGTAAATCAGGTGACCAGAAAGTTTAAAATCCAAGTCAATAGAAAGTGGTTAATACATATCTAAAGATGGTTACCGGGAGACGGACACAATTATATCACTCAGGAAGAAATTTTAATTATTTCACTTTATGCTGAATATTGCGCTGAAGATGTTGTCCAGAAGGAGGACGAAAGCTCCGCAACCAAACCAACTAGCTCAGAGAACACTATTAATTGCAAATTGTTAATCTCTGTGAAACAGAACAAATATGGAAATACGTTGTATACACAAGTCACTTTCTCTAACAAAATGTGCACGGATTACTAGAGATCAATAGTGTGTCGGTGGCATAGTGGTTAGGACGCTCGCCGACCATGCACATGGTCCGGGGTTCGATCCCCGGCCGACGCACTCCTTTACCTCGCTAAGCCAGAAATAATGCTGTTGAAGAGGAAAGGTTAGGCATGAGGCTAGCAACCCCATCCTGTAAAATAAGCACCACTATAGAAACTTCAAGCCACTAGCTTGAAGCCCTATGTTCCACCAGGGAACGTGAAGGAAATAAAAAAAAATGGTGTGTTCACTTCGAGATTACACAGACTGACAAAAGTGCACTCAAATGCTTCGCCACTTCAACTGGTACTAGATGCGTTAAATTCCTCATATTATTCGTTAGCCAAATGGTTGTTCACACTC